ACAGGCACACCCTGGGGAAGCAACGCGCCTCCTCCTCCACTTACACTCACACCAGGGTGAATCAATATTCCTGTTCCCCCCATAACCCCTGTCCCCCCCCTTCCCATTACGTCTGCCCCCATTACCCTTGCTGCTGTCCCTCCCATTCCGTCTGCCCCCATTACCATTGTCCCTGTCCCTCCCATTCCGTCTGCCCCCATTACCCTTGCTGCTGTCCCTCCCATTCCGTCTGCCCCCATTACCATTGTCCCTGTCCCTCCCATTCCGTCTGCCCCCATTACCATTGTCCCTGTCCCTCCCATTCCGTCTGCCCCCATTACCCTTGCTGCTGTCCCTCCCATTCCGTCTGCCCCCATTACCATTGTCCCTGTCCCTCCCATTCCGTCTGCCCCCATTACCATTGTCCCTGTCCCTCCCATTCCGTCTGCCCCCATTACCCTTGCTGCTGTCCCTCCCATTCCGTCTGCCCCCATTACCATTGTCCCTGTCCCTCCCATTCCGTCTGCCCCCATTACCATTGTCCCTGTCCCTCCCATTCCGTCTGCCCCCATTACCCTTGCTGCTGTCCCTCCCATTCCGTCTGCCCCATTACCCTTGCTGCTGTCCCTCCCATTCCGTCTGCCCCCATTACCCTTGCTGCTGTCCCTCCCATTCCGTCTGCCCCCATTACCCTTGCTGCTGTCCCTCCCATTCTTTCTGCTCCCATAACCCCTGCGCCTGCCCCCCCCATTACTCCTCCTCCCATCACCCCCCCTCCCATCACACCCCCCCCTCCCATCACCCCCCCTCCCATCACCCACCCCCCTCCCAATACTCCCCCTCCTGCCCCTGCCATTCCGCCTGCCCCCATAACCCCCATCGTCGTCCCGCCCCCCCCCTCCTCCTGCTCCCATCACCCCTGCCATTCCCTGTGCCCCCATAACCCCTCCCAAACCACCCCCCATTATCCCACCCATAGCACCACCCATCACACCACTAGCACCCATCACACCACCACCACCCATCACACCAGAAGCACCCATCACACCAGCAGCAGCAACAGAAGCACCAGGGCCAAGAATTGGAAGTATATTTCTGCCTGTGGCATTATAACCCATGGAGAGAGGAGTGGGGAGAGGAGGCAACCCTTTTGCGTAATGGGCAAGAGTAGCAGCAACAGCTGCAACAACCGCAGGAGCAGCAGCAGGAGCAGCAGCAGGGGAAGCAATACGCGTAGCAGGATTAGCAGCAGCAGAAGCAGGAGCAGCAGCAGAAGCAGGAGCAGCAGCAGAAGCAGGAGCAGCAGCAGAAGCAGGAGCAGCAGCAGAAGCAGGAGCAGCAGCAGAAGCAGCAGCACCACCAGAAGCAACAGTACGAGACGCGTCGCGAGCTGCTGCTGCAAATGCAACAGCAGGGGAAACCGCAGGTGCCAAAACAGCAGGGAATGAGGCGTGATTGGACGAGCTTCCAGCCAATGGCATCGTGCCACCTGTCCCTGTGCCGCCCAGGTAAAAGGGAGCGCCCCCACGAATAACTCTCGAGTTTGCAGGTTGCTGCTGCTGTTGCTGTTTATTCTGCTGCTGAATTTGCTGTTGCTGCTGCTGATTATTATGATGCTGATATTGCTGCTGCTGCTGCTGCTGCTGCTGCTGCTGCTGCTGCTGCTGCTTCTGCTGCTGCTGCTGTTGGTCTGCCTGTGGTGGGTGCTGCAAAAACCTCTTTTGCCATTTTTCCCCAGAAACACCCCCCAAACTCTCCCCCAAGTCCCCCCCTAGACCATCCACAGAAACGTCCACCCCCCGGGTGGCGAGCTGGGACTGTATCTGCCCCATGCGCAGCTGTAGCTGCTGTGTGACATTATACTGAGCTGACTTTTGAGTCGACTCAAAAACAGGATCAGCAGAAACGTCCACCCCCCGGGTGGCGAGCTGGGACTGTATCTGCCCCATGCGCAGCTGTAGCTGCTGTGTGACATTATACTGAGCTGACTTTTGAGTCGACTCAAAAACAGGATCAGCAGAAACGTCCACCCCCCGGGTGGCGAGCTGGGACTGTATCTGCCCCATGCGCAGCTGTAGCTGCTGCAGCTGCGACTGTAGCTGGATATACTGCGTCTGATACTGCTGCAGCTGCTGTAGCAACTGAGAAGTGCGGATTTGATTCTGTATCTCGTTCTCCTCGTCTCCTTGACTCTGTTTTTGAGTCGACTCAGTATCGCGTCCTTGACTCTGCACCTTCTGCACCTTCTGCACCTTCTGTACCTTCTTCCTCTGATTCCGGTTCTTATGGGTCTTCCCCTGTGCGGATGCAAGTGCTTCTATCTGCCCGTTTTCCTGCCCCTGCGATTGAGTGGTTGTAGTGGCAACAGTGGTCCTTCCCCTCATCCCTTCCCCTACCCCTCCCCCCATCTCTCCCCCCATCGTTCCCCTCAATGTATCCCCCATTGTCACCTGGCTCTGTTGCCCCACCTGATTTTCCACCTGAACCCCAACCTGCTGTTGCAACTCCCCTTCTCCTGAAACCTCCCCTCTCGTTCCCCCCCTTCCTCTACCACTCGCTCCCCCATACCTCCCCTCCTCCTCCCCTTGCCCGTCCTCATCCCCCTCTTCCCCCTCTTCCCCTTCTTCCCCCCTCCCCCCCTCCCCCCATCCCTCCCCATCTCCCCTCCCCCACCCCCATCATCTTGTGGCGAGTACAAAGTGTAGAGGCTACTAACGGAGCAATTCGCCTCCCTTAGAACCTCTTCCAAGGAAAATCCAGCCATGAACAGTAGAGTAACGCCAAGCGACCTGAAGAATCTCCTGCCCACGTGGGTCAGCCCGGCAGCATCTGCCAGGTGGGCGGCGGAGCGAGCCAGGTTGCTTCGGCCAATGGGGTGGCGGGCGTAGCTGGTGGGGAGGGGGGTCGGGGAGGGGGGTAAGAGGAAGGAGGGAGGGGAGGGGTTGTGGGGAAGATGGAGGAAGAGGGAAGAAGAGGGTATTCAGAATGACCGTATGGTTCTGCTGGTTGGGGCACCTCAATAGGCATCTAGAATCGGGCTATGGATGGGTCAGCCCGGCAGCATCTGCCAGGTGGGCGGCGGAGCGGGCCAGGTTGGTTCGGCCCATGGGGTGGCGAGCGTAGCTGGTGCAGGTGGTATGTGGGGGATGGGAGGTGGAGAATGTGAGAGGGGGGAGAGAGGAACGGGGGGTAGGGGAATGGGCACATAGGTTGGGTGCACGAGCAAGCAACAGTGGAGTCACGCCAAGGCAAAACCTCCTGATAAAACTCCTGAAAAATCTCCTGCCCATGTGGGTGAGCATGTCTCACCTGTTCAGCGGCCCGAAAGATGGCACGCGGGAAAATTTCGCCGACAGAAACAGGCTCGGCGCAGCTCCGGCGGGCCGCATCCGAGCCTCCTCATCCAAGATCCGAACCGGGCACAGGATCGGGTTCTGCAGGTTCGGGAAGAACTGCTTGTGCACGAGGCTCGGCGCGAGGCTCGGCGGCGGCACAAACGCAACATGCTCGCCCAGAAACTGCGGAGAAAGGTACTCCCCTCCCCGGTTCAGAACGACAAGATGGGAGAACTCCAGCTTGAGCAAGGCATCTAAGCCGCCGCGGACGGCGAGTGTGGCGAATACTATGAGTTTTCGCATGGTGTGGGCGATGGCGTTGGTTCGGGCGAGGGCTGGGCTTGCCATCATGCGCTGTACGTCGGATATGCAGAGCGCATGGGTGGATGATGATGATGAGCCGAGTTGCTTCCGCTTCCGCTTTCTGCTCTGCCTCGTGTCACGCCTTGCTGCTGCTGCTGCTGCTGCCGCTGGCGCTGCTGCTGCTGCAGCGGCTGTTGCTGCTGCTTCCTCCTCTTCCTCCTCTTCCTCCTCTGCCTCTCGCTTGACCTCCATGCTTGGAGCTGCAATTTCTGCTGCTAGATTGGGCCCGCCTTGCTCTCTGCTGCTACCGTATTCAAGCACAGCATTTTCCATCCCCACTGCATTGAAAGAACCTCCTTCTAAGCTGCCCTCATTCTCCTCTGTTACCTCATCCTCTGTTACCTCGTCATCTGTACACTCCAGCAGCATATCGAATCCCCCTACAACGCCCTCCTTTGAAGCTCTTCCAGTGCTTCCCCCAGTGCCTTCCCCAGTGCCTCCCCCAGTCCCTCCCCCACTGCCTCCCCCACTGCCGCCCCCACTGCCTCCCCCAGCGCCTCCCCCAGTTCCCTCCAGCATATCGCCACCCCCAGTAGCGCCTTCCCTTGATTCACCCTCAATGCTTCCTCCAGTGCCTTCCCCAGTGGCTCTCAGCAGCATATCGCCTCCCCCAGTAGCGCCTTCCTCCTCCACTTACACTCACACCAGGGTGAATCAATATTCCTGTTCCCCCCATAACCCCTGTCCCCCCCCTTCCCATTACGTCTGCCCCCATTACCCTTGCTGCTGTCCCTCCCATTCCGTCTGCCCCCATTACCATTGTCCCTGTCCCTCCCATTCCGTCTGCCCCCATTACCCTTGCTGCTGTCCCTCCCATTCCGTCTGCCCCCATTACCATTGTCCCTGTCCCTCCCATTCCGTCTGCCCCCATTACCATTGTCCCTGTCCCTCCCATTCCGTCTGCCCCCATTACCCTTGCTGCTGTCCCTCCCATTCCGTCTGCCCCCATTACCATTGTCCCTGTCCCTCCCATTCCGTCTGCCCCCATTACCATTGTCCCTGTCCCTCCCATTCCGTCTGCCCCCATTACCCTTGCTGCTGTCCCTCCCATTCCGTCTGCCCCCATTACCATTGTCCCTGTCCCTCCCATTCCGTCTGCCCCCATTACCATTGTCCCTGTCCCTCCCATTCCGTCTGCCCCCATTACCCTTGCTGCTGTCCCTCCCATTCCGTCTGCCCCCATTACCCTTGCTGCTGTCCCTCCCATTCCGTCTGCCCCCATTACCCTTGCTGCTGTCCCTCCCATTCCGTCTGCCCCCATTACCCTTGCTGCTGTCCCTCCCATTCTTTCTGCTCCCATAACCCCTGCGCCTGCCCCCCCCATTACTCCTCCTCCCATCCCCCCCCCCCTCCCATCACCCCCCCTCCCATCACCCCCCCTCCCATCACCCCCCCTCCCATCACCCCCCCTCCCAATACTCCCCCTCCTGCCCCTGCCATTCCGCCTGCCCCCATAACCCCCATTCGTCCCGCTCCCCCCCCTCCTCCTGCTCCCATCACCCCTGCCATTCCCTGTGCCCCCATAACCCCTCCCAAACCACCCCCCATTATCCCACCCATAGCACCACCCATCACACCACTAGCACCCATCACACCACCACCACCCATCACACCAGAAGCACCCATCACACCAGCAGCAGCAACAGAAGCACCAGGGCCAAGAATTGGAAGTATATTTCTGCCTGTGGCATTATAACCCATGGAGAGAGGAGTGGGGAGAGGAGGCAACCCTTTTGCGTAATGGGCAAGAGTAGCAGCAACAGCTGCAACAACCGCAGGAGCAGCAGCAGGAGCAGCAGCAGGGGAAGCAATACGCGTAGCAGGATTAGCAGCAGCAGAAGCAGGAGCAGCAGCAGAAGCAGGAGCAGCAGCAGAAGCAGGAGCAGCAGCAGAAGCAGGAGCAGCAGCAGAAGCAGGAGCAGCAGCAGAAGCAGCAGCACCACCAGAAGCAACAGTACGAGACGCGTCGCGAGCTGCTGCTGCAAATGCAACAGCAGGGGAAACCGCAGGTGCCAAAACAGCAGGGAATGAGGCGTGATTGGACGAGCTTCCAGCCAATGGCATCGTGCCACCTGTCCCTGTGCCGCCCAGGTAAAAGGGAGCGCCCCCACGAATAACTCTCGAGTTTGCAGGTTGCTGCTGCTGTTGCTGTTTATTCTGCTGCTGAATTTGCTGTTGCTGCTGCTGATTATTATGATGCTGATATTGCTGCTGCTGCTGCTGCTGCTGCTGCTGCTGCTGCTGCTGCTGCTTCTGCTGCTGCTGCTGTTGGTCTGCCTGTGGTGGGTGCTGCAAAAACCTCTTTTGCCATTTTTCCCCAGAAACACCCCCCAAACTCTCCCCCAAGTCCCCCCCTAGACCATCCACAGAAACGTCCACCCCCCGGGTGGCGAGCTGGGACTGTATCTGCCCCATGCGCAGCTGTAGCTGCTGTGTGACATTATACTGAGCTGACTTTTGAGTCGACTCAAAAACAGGATCAGCAGAAACGTCCACCCCCCGGGTGGCGAGCTGGGACTGTATCTGCCCCATGCGCAGCTGTAGCTGCTGTGTGACATTATACTGAGCTGACTTTTGAGTCGACTCAAAAACAGGATCAGCAGAAACGTCCACCCCCCGGGTGGCGAGCTGGGACTGTATCTGCCCCATGCGCAGCTGTAGCTGCTGCAGCTGCGACTGTAGCTGGATATACTGCGTCTGATACTGCTGCAGCTGCTGTAGCAACTGAGAAGTGCGGATTTGATTCTGTATCTCGTTCTCCTCGTCTCCTTGACTCTGTTTTTGAGTCGACTCAGTATCGCGTCCTTGACTCTGCACCTTCTGCACCTTCTGCACCTTCTGTACCTTCTTCCTCTGATTCCGGTTCTTATGGGTCTTCCCCTGTGCGGATGCAAGTGCTTCTATCTGCCCGTTTTCCTGCCCCTGCGATTGAGTGGTTGTAGTGGCAACAGTGGTCCTTCCCCTCATCCCTTCCCCTACCCCTCCCCCCATCTCTCCCCCCATCGTTCCCCTCAATGTATCCCCCATTGTCACCTGGCTCTGTTGCCCCACCTGATTTTCCACCTGAACCCCAACCTGCTGTTGCAACTCCCCTTCTCCTGAAACCTCCCCTCTCGTTCCCCCCCTTCCTCTACCACTCGCTCCCCCATACCTCCCCTCCTCCTCCCCTTGCCCGTCCTCATCCCCCTCTTCCCCCTCTTCCCCTTCTTCCCCCCCTCCCCCCATCTCCCTCCCCATCTCCCCTCCCCCACCCCCATCATCTTGTGGCGAGTACAAAGTGTAGAGGCTACTAACGGAGCAATTCGCCTCCCTTAGAACCTCTTCCAAGGAAAATCCAGCCATGAACAGTAGAGTAACGCCAAGCGACCTGAAGAATCTCCTGCCCACGTGGGTCAGCCCGGCAGCATCTGCCAGGTGGGCGGCGGAGCGAGCCAGGTTGCTTCGGCCAATGGGGTGGCGGGCGTAGCTGGTGGGGAGGGGGGTCGGGGAGGGGGGTAAGAGGAAGGAGGGAGGGGAGGGGTTGTGGGGAAGATGGAGGAAGAGGGAAGAAGAGGGTATTCAGAATGACCGTATGGTTCTGCTGGTTGGGGCACCTCAATAGGCATCTAGAATCGGGCTATGGATGGGTCAGCCCGGCAGCATCTGCCAGGTGGGCGGCGGAGCGGGCCAGGTTGGTTCGGCCCATGGGGTGGCGAGCGTAGCTGGTGCAGGTGGTATGTGGGGGATGGGAGGTGGAGAATGTGAGAGGGGGGAGAGAGGAACGGGGGGTAGGGGAATGGGCACATAGGTTGGGTGCACGAGCAAGCAACAGTGGAGTCACGCCAAGGCAAAACCTCCTGATAAAACTCCTGAAAAATCTCCTGCCCATGTGGGTGAGCATGTCTCACCTGTTCAGCGGCCCGAAAGATGGCACGCGGGAAAATTTCGCCGACAGAAACAGGCTCGGCGCAGCTCCGGCGGGCCGCATCCGAGCCTCCTCATCCAAGATCCGAACCGGGCACAGGATCGGGTTCTGCAGGTTCGGGAAGAACTGCTTGTGCACGAGGCTCGGCGCGAGGCTCGGCGGCGGCACAAACGCAACATGCTCGCCCAGAAACTGCGGAGAAAGGTACTCCCCTCCCCGGTTCAGAACGACAAGATGGGAGAACTCCAGCTTGAGCAAGGCATCTAAGCCGCCGCGGACGGCGAGTGTGGCGAATACTATGAGTTTTCGCATGGTGTGGGCGATGGCGTTGGTTCGGGCGAGGGCTGGGCTTGCCATCATGCGCTGTACGTCGGATATGCAGAGCGCATGGGTGGATGATGATGATGAGCCGAGTTGCTTCCGCTTCCGCTTTCTGCTCTGCCTCGTGTCACGCCTTGCTGCTGCTGCTGCTGCTGCCGCTGGCGCTGCTGCTGCTGCAGCGGCTGTTGCTGCTGCTTCCTCCTCTTCCTCCTCTTCCTCCTCTGCCTCTCGCTTGACCTCCATGCTTGGAGCTGCAATTTCTGCTGCTAGATTGGGCCCGCCTTGCTCTCTGCTGCTACCGTATTCAAGCACAGCATTTTCCATCCCCACTGCATTGAAAGAACCTCCTTCTAAGCTGCCCTCATTCTCCTCTGTTACCTCATCCTCTGTTACCTCGTCATCTGTACACTCCAGCAGCATATCGAATCCCCCTACAACGCCCTCCTTTGAAGCTCTTCCAGTGCTTCCCCCAGTGCCTTCCCCAGTGCCTCCCCCAGTCCCTCCCCCACTGCCTCCCCCACTGCCGCCCCCACTGCCTCCCCCAGCGCCTCCCCCAGTTCCCTCCAGCATATCGCCACCCCCAGTAGCGCCTTCCCTTGATTCACCCTCAATGCTTCCTCCAGTGCCTTCCCCAGTGGCTCTCAGCAGCATATCGCCTCCCCCAGTAGCGCCTTCCTCCTCCACTTACACTCACACCAGGGTGAATCAATATTCCTGTTCCCCCCATAACCCCTGTCCCCCCCCTTCCCATTACGTCTGCCCCCATTACCCTTGCTGCTGTCCCTCCCATTCCGTCTGCCCCCATTACCATTGTCCCTGTCCCTCCCATTCCGTCTGCCCCCATTACCCTTGCTGCTGTCCCTCCCATTCCGTCTGCCCCCATTACCATTGTCCCTGTCCCTCCCATTCCGTCTGCCCCCATTACCATTGTCCCTGTCCCTCCCATTCCGTCTGCCCCCATTACCCTTGCTGCTGTCCCTCCCATTCCGTCTGCCCCCATTACCATTGTCCCTGTCCCTCCCATTCCGTCTGCCCCCATTACCATTGTCCCTGTCCCTCCCATTCCGTCTGCCCCCATTACCCTTGCTGCTGTCCCTCCCATTCCGTCTGCCCCCATTACCATTGTCCCTGTCCCTCCCATTCCGTCTGCCCCCATTACCATTGTCCCTGTCCCTCCCATTCCGTCTGCCCCCATTACCCTTGCTGCTGTCCCTCCCATTCCGTCTGCCCCCATTACCCTTGCTGCTGTCCCTCCCATTCCGTCTGCCCCCATTACCCTTGCTGCTGTCCCTCCCATTCCGTCTGCCCCCATTACCCTTGCTGCTGTCCCTCCCATTCTTTCTGCTCCCATAACCCCTGCGCCTGCCCCCCCCATTACTCCTCCTCCCATCACCCCCCCTCCCATCACCCCCCCTCCCATCACCCCCCCCTCCCATCACCCCCCCTCCCATCACCCCCCCTCCCAATACTCCCCCTCCTGCCCCTGCCATTCCGCCTGCCCCCATAACCCCCATTCGTCCCGCTCCCCCCCCTCCTCCTGCTCCCATCACCCCTGCCATTCCCTGTGCCCCCATAACCCCTCCCAAACCACCCCCCATTATCCCACCCATAGCACCACCCATCACACCACTAGCACCCATCACACCACCACCACCCATCACACCAGAAGCACCCATCACACCAGCAGCAGCAACAGAAGCACCAGGGCCAAGAATTGGAAGTATATTTCTGCCTGTGGCATTATAACCCATGGAGAGAGGAGTGGGGAGAGGAGGCAACCCTTTTGCGTAATGGGCAAGAGTAGCAGCAACAGCTGCAACAACCGCAGGAGCAGCAGCAGGAGCAGCAGCAGGGGAAGCAATACGCGTAGCAGGATTAGCAGCAGCAGAAGCAGGAGCAGCAGCAGAAGCAGGAGCAGCAGCAGAAGCAGGAGCAGCAGCAGAAGCAGGAGCAGCAGCAGAAGCAGGAGCAGCAGCAGAAGCAGCAGCACCACCAGAAGCAACAGTACGAGACGCGTCGCGAGCTGCTGCTGCAAATGCAACAGCAGGGGAAACCGCAGGTGCCAAAACAGCAGGGAATGAGGCGTGATTGGACGAGCTTCCAGCCAATGGCATCGTGCCACCTGTCCCTGTGCCGCCCAGGTAAAAGGGAGCGCCCCCACGAATAACTCTCGAGTTTGCAGGTTGCTGCTGCTGTTGCTGTTTATTCTGCTGCTGAATTTGCTGTTGCTGCTGCTGATTATTATGATGCTGATATTGCTGCTGCTGCTGCTGCTGCTGCTGCTGCTGCTGCTGCTGCTGCTTCTGCTGCTGCTGCTGTTGGTCTGCCTGTGGTGGGTGCTGCAAAAACCTCTTTTGCCATTTTTCCCCAGAAACACCCCCCAAACTCTCCCCCAAGTCCCCCCCTAGACCATCCACAGAAACGTCCACCCCCCGGGTGGCGAGCTGGGACTGTATCTGCCCCATGCGCAGCTGTAGCTGCTGTGTGACATTATACTGAGCTGACTTTTGAGTCGACTCAAAAACAGGATCAGCAGAAACGTCCACCCCCCGGGTGGCGAGCTGGGACTGTATCTGCCCCATGCGCAGCTGTAGCTGCTGTGTGACATTATACTGAGCTGACTTTTGAGTCGACTCAAAAACAGGATCAGCAGAAACGTCCACCCCCCGGGTGGCGAGCTGGGACTGTATCTGCCCCATGCGCAGCTGTAGCTGCTGCAGCTGCGACTGTAGCTGGATATACTGCGTCTGATACTGCTGCAGCTGCTGTAGCAACTGAGAAGTGCGGATTTGATTCTGTATCTCGTTCTCCTCGTCTCCTTGACTCTGTTTTTGAGTCGACTCAGTATCGCGTCCTTGACTCTGCACCTTCTGCACCTTCTGCACCTTCTGTACCTTCTTCCTCTGATTCCGGTTCTTATGGGTCTTCCCCTGTGCGGATGCAAGTGCTTCTATCTGCCCGTTTTCCTGCCCCTGCGATTGAGTGGTTGTAGTGGCAACAGTGGTCCTTCCCCTCATCCCTTCCCCTACCCCTCCCCCCATCTCTCCCCCCATCGTTCCCCTCAATGTATCCCCCATTGTCACCTGGCTCTGTTGCCCCACCTGATTTTCCACCTGAACCCCAACCTGCTGTTGCAACTCCCCTTCTCCTGAAACCTCCCCTCTCGTTCCCCCCCTTCCTCTACCACTCGCTCCCCCATACCTCCCCTCCTCCTCCCCTTGCCCGTCCTCATCCCCCTCTTCCCCCTCTTCCCCTTCTTCCCCCCCTCCCCCCATCTCCCTCCCCATCTCCCCTCCCCCACCCCCATCATCTTGTGGCGAGTACAAAGTGTAGAGGCTACTAACGGAGCAATTCGCCTCCCTTAGAACCTCTTCCAAGGAAAATCCAGCCATGAACAGTAGAGTAACGCCAAGCGACCTGAAGAATCTCCTGCCCACGTGGGTCAGCCCGGCAGCATCTGCCAGGTGGGCGGCGGAGCGAGCCAGGTTGCTTCGGCCAATGGGGTGGCGGGCGTAGCTGGTGGGGAGGGGGGTCGGGGAGGGGGGTAAGAGGAAGGAGGGAGGGGAGGGGTTGTGGGGAAGATGGAGGAAGAGGGAAGAAGAGGGTATTCAGAATGACCGTATGGTTCTGCTGGTTGGGGCACCTCAATAGGCATCTAGAATCGGGCTATGGATGGGTCAGCCCGGCAGCATCTGCCAGGTGGGCGGCGGAGCGGGCCAGGTTGGTTCGGCCCATGGGGTGGCGAGCGTAGCTGGTGCAGGTGGTATGTGGGGGATGGGAGGTGGAGAATGTGAGAGGGGGGAGAGAGGAACGGGGGGTAGGGGAATGGGCACATAGGTTGGGTGCACGAGCAAGCAACAGTGGAGTCACGCCAAGGCAAAACCTCCTGATAAAACTCCTGAAAAATCTCCTGCCCATGTGGGTGAGCATGTCTCACCTGTTCAGCGGCCCGAAAGATGGCACGCGGGAAAATTTCGCCGACAGAAACAGGCTCGGCGCAGCTCCGGCGGGCCGCATCCGAGCCTCCTCATCCAAGATCCGAACCGGGCACAGGATCGGGTTCTGCAGGTTCGGGAAGAACTGCTTGTGCACGAGGCTCGGCGCGAGGCTCGGCGGCGGCACAAACGCAACATGCTCGCCCAGAAACTGCGGAGAAAGGTACTCCCCTCCCCGGTTCAGAACGACAAGATGGGAGAACTCCAGCTTGAGCAAGGCATCTAAGCCGCCGCGGACGGCGAGTGTGGCGAATACTATGAGTTTTCGCATGGTGTGGGCGATGGCGTTGGTTCGGGCGAGGGCTGGGCTTGCCATCATGCGCTGTACGTCGGATATGCAGAGCGCATGGGTGGATGATGATGATGAGCCGAGTTGCTTCCGCTTCCGCTTTTTCTGCTCTGCCTCGTGTCACGCCTTGCTGCTGCTGCTGCTGCTGCCGCTGGCGCTGCTGCTGCTGCAGCGGCTGTTGCTGCTGCTTCCTCCTCTTCCTCCTCTTCCTCCTCTGCCTCTCGCTTGACCTCCATGCTTGGAGCTGCAATTTCTGCTGCTAGATTGGGCCCGCCTTGCTCTCTGCTGCTACCGTATTCAAGCACAGCATTTTCCATCCCCACTGCATTGAAAGAACCTCCTTCTAAGCTGCCCTCATTCTCCTCTGTTACCTCATCCTCTGTTACCTCGTCATCTGTACACTCCAGCAGCATATCGAATCCCCCTACAACGCCCTCCTTTGAAGCTCTTCCAGTGCTTCCCCCAGTGCCTTCCCCAGTGCCTCCCCCAGTCCCTCCCCCACTGCCTCCCCCACTGCCGCCCCCACTGCCTCCCCCAGCGCCTCCCCCAGTTCCCTCCAGCATATCGCCACCCCCAGTAGCGCCTTCCCTTGATTCACCCTCAATGCTTCCTCCAGTGCCTTCCCCAGTGGCTCTCAGCAGCATATCGCCTCCCCCAGTAGCGCCTTCCTCCTCCACTTACACTCACACCAGGGTGAATCAATATTCCTGTTCCCCCATAACCCCTGTCCCCCCCCTTCCCATTACGTCTGCCCCCATTACCCTTGCTGCTGTCCCTCCCATTCCGTCTGCCCCCATTACCATTGTCCCTGTCCCTCCCATTCCGTCTGCCCCCATTACCCTTGCTGCTGTCCCTCCCATTCCGTCTGCCCCCATTACCATTGTCCCTGTCCCTCCCATTCCGTCTGCCCCCATTACCATTGTCCCTGTCCCTCCCATTCCGTCTGCCCCCATTACCCTTGCTGCTGTCCCTCCCATTCCGTCTGCCCCCATTACCATTGTCCCTGTCCCTCCCATTCCGTCTGCCCCCATTACCATTGTCCCTGTCCCTCCCATTCCGTCTGCCCCCATTACCCTTGCTGCTGTCCCTCCCATTCCGTCTGCCCCCATTACCATTGTCCCTGTCCCTCCCATTCCGTCTGCCCCCATTACCATTGTCCCTGTCCCTCCCATTCCGTCTGCCCCCATTACCCTTGCTGCTGTCCCTCCCATTCCGTCTGCCCCCATTACCCTTGCTGCTGTCCCTCCCATTCCGTCTGCCCCCATTACCCTTGCTGCTGTCCCTCC